GACACGAGAAGTCATTCTTCCGCTCAACTCTGCGCTGGTTAGGCCTCAATTGGAGTATTGTGTTCAGTTCTGGGCACTGCATTTCAAGAAAGATGTGGAGAAATTGGAGAGGGTCCAGAGAAGAGCAACGAGAATGATTAAAGGTCTAGAGAACATGACCCATGAGGGAAGGCTGAAGGAATTAGGGTTGTTTAGTTTAGAAAAGAGAAGATTGGGGGGGACATGATAGCAGTTTTCAGATATCTAAAAGGGTGTTATGAGGAGGGAGAAAACTTGTTCATCTTGGCCTCTGGGGATAGAACAAGAAGCAATGGGCTTAAACTGCAGCAAGGGAGGTTTAGGTTGGACATTAGGAAAAAGTTCCTAACTGTCAGGGTAGTCAAACACTGGAATAAATTGCCCAGGGAGGTTGTGGAATCTGCATCTGTGGAGATATTTAAGAGTAGGTTAGATAAATGTCTATCAGGGATGGTCTAGACAGTATTTGGTCCTGCCATGAGGGCAGGGGACTGGACTTGATGACCTCTCGAGGTCCCTTCCAGTCCTAGTATTCTATGATTCTATATACCAAGCCAGACCTTTGATATTAATCTGAAAACTATGTGCTTCCACCCACCCCATGTATTTATCTCCTTTTGAAATCTCTGGAAAATGTTACAAGCGTTTAAATCAATATGTGAATAAAATGTTATTGTACAACACACAATGGCCCAGAAAGACAAGTATCTGCCTTCTTCTGTGGAGAGTTTGTCTCACAGTGCACTGTTTTGTGTGACCTGCCTTCAAGTACAGGTCTCACAGAACCTAATTTTCAGCAGATATACTTAACTCCTCACACATTCACTACACATTCCTTTTACAATGATTATGATGTCATATGTGACACAGGTTATCAGTAGAGACCATACATGACATGATTTTGATGAACCCAGGGGATCCCTGGACCTCTACACCCTTTGCCAGTTGGCATCAAGAGGTTTTTTGGATCGCACCTAGTTTCGTGCTTGATCATGCAAGTACTAAATGCTAAGTCACTAAACTGGATCTTACAGTGCTATTATTTTGTCAAGATCTTTATACATTTCGGTTCTAGAATTCCAAGAGGAACAAACCTTAATTATGGTGCTACCATCTTTATATGTCATTGAGAAGCCGGAGGCTCTTGCAGCACATTTGGCTTTCTCCCACTCATGCGTCTTGAGCCTGTCATACATCTCCAGCACAGCTGATAATCGACAGGGATCATTCAAGTTCTCAGAGAACTTATGGCTTTCCATTGCTTTGGCCAAGATATGGTTCAATCTAGACCCAAAATGGGGTTAAAAAGTTTATTTTAAAATGAAAGCACTAGATACAAGGAACACACATCAAGACCAGTTAGTTTTTAACTCATAAAGGATAACTAATAATAATTTGGCAATACTTTATGAAGTGTTACGTAATTCACAAGCACACAGCCTCCAGTCTGCACTCCCCAACTCAGTTTCTGTATGGAAAAACATCACACTCACAGCAATATTCCACAAGTGGCAGCTATCATGATCTAAACAGCACTTTGGCTTTTCCATGGGAGCTTGTTTCTTTCATCTGCATTTGGTTACTGAGACAGGTATGGAGCTGTCAGAGACCACCTCCTAGGATCACATTACTCAGCTCACAGTGGCCAGTAGTACACATGCCCTATAGAGGCTGAGAATTTGGGGATGGGACATATCAGCTGCCAGGGGGCCATAAGAGGGTTACAGCATTGGGAGAACGATAGGGCTCTTTGTAGAAAATTAAGCTCCAGAGGAAATATTTACAGATTCCCCTACCTTTGCTTCAAGACTCTTTTCTCTTCCTTTAGTTTTTCACACTCTTCTTCCTTCTGATGGAACTTTTCCAAACTGACCGTTCTGGAAACCTCCCTGAAACAGATTCATGGACAAGATAAATATTCCCAACCATCCAATGATGCATACAGGAAGGCCAGTGTTGGCCGCACATTCTAGAAGCTATGAGACAGTCCCAGATTCTTATCAGCCTATTCTGCTAGCCCAGCTCACAGCATAGTTATGATCAGAAATGTATTTATGCCTTGCAATGTTATGATGCTACAGCCACCTCCAGCACTGTAGTGACAGGATACAATGTTTATGACAAGATTATTTGTCTCACAAAGCATAAGATAGGATTCATTTAAATACTACATGGATTCACTCTCCCAGATATATTTATCATAGAATCATAGAATACTAGGACTGGAAGGGACCTCGAGAGGTAATCGATTCCAGTCCCTTGCCCTCATGGGAGAAAGGTAATGTGTATCTAATCCAACATCCACTGAAATCAATATCGAAACTCTTGTTGACATTGATAAGTTCAGGTTCAGGTCCTGTGTTTCAAATATCTTTTGAAGGACAAGCAACACTGCATGTCCTTCTCTCCTCAAAATCTTCTTTTCCCTCAGCACGGAAGGGGAGGCTGCTGTCTTAATGAATTTTGCTCAGAATGTTCTGTTTGTAGAGTCACAACACATTCAAAAGTGGCAGACATACTAGAAAGACGGGAGGAGGGTGACTGGCCCTGGGTGAAGAGGCAATTCACAGAATAGCAACAAAAATACACAATACTCACTTCTCAGAGAATCTATGACTATTGTCAGTGGCCTCCTGTGATCTGGAATCACCGCAATCAATCCCATTTATTGCTTCCTGGCTAGAGATGGAACAAACCAAGTGGAATAAAGGAAATGCAAATGGGAACAAAACAAAACCCAAACCCCTGAACTTTGGAGAATTCAGTCCCAACTCCTGATCTGGCCTTTGCAATCAGCCCCATGGTATGTGATTTAACAAAATCTCTGGATCCAATTTGGTCTGAATTTGGGAGGGAAATTGGATCTAGCTCCAATCTCTGTATCATGGATCACTTTCTAGTAAGAACCTGAACCTTTGTCCTACATCAGCCAAGTCTTGACAAAGAATGTTGACACTATTTCGGAAAAACTGCCTGCTGTGCAGACATAGATTAAGTTATTTCAGAATAGTGCCAGTTATTTCAAAATAAGGGTATGCCTACACTGCATGCTTATTTTGAAATAAGCTATTCCGGAATAGTTATTCCAAAATAGCTTATTTCGAAATAGAGCATCCACACTGCAGAGAAAACTCGAAATTAGTCTGAGATATAGACATAGGGTAGCACGTAATGTAGATGTACTATCTTGATTTAGAGCCCCAGAAGGCACTGGGAAGGAATAACTTAGAATGGCCCTGGTCTACACACACCTTATTTCAAAATAGCTATTTTGGAATAGGTGTTATTCCTTGTAGAATGAGGCTTACAGATTTTGGAATAAGCCATCCGTTATTTTGAAATTATTTCAAAATAACAGAGTGGCCGTGTAGACGCTTGCATTGTTATTTCAAAATAACGCTAGTTATCTCAAAATAACGGTACAGTGTAGATGCACCCTAAGAGAAATGAAGCTACTCCAATCACTAGGCAGGCAGATATTTTAGTATTAATACCCATCAGCACTCTGTAAATTTGGTGAGGAGAAAATACTTTTCAAGTGTGTTTAGAATTTCTTTTGTGTGGTAGGTATTTTAGAAGGAATCCCCACTAACCTGCATTTTCTTTCCAAAAGGAGTACACATTTCATTACATGAGGGGGTAGGGATAGCTCAGTGGTATGTGCCTTGGCCTGTTTGTGTCAGGGTTGTGAGCGCAATCCTTGAGGGGGCTATTTAGGGATCTGGGGCATATGTATCAGAGATGGTACTTGGTCCTGCCATGAGGACAGGGGACTGGACTCAATGACCTTTCAAGGTCCCTTCCAGCTCTATGATATAGGTATGTCTCCAAATCTTTAAGTTGAACATTCCTTTCACTGTCAGGCACAAAATGATGAAAAGGGATTAGATTTAAAATGTTCATAAAGGAATAAGATCTGCAAAAGAACAACCCCTCCCAAAATTATTAGTTTAAAAAATAGACAAAACTTCTGCAATTAAAAACATATCTGCTCAGTCAGCTAGCTTCAAGATTACTGCTTTGCTTAGGGTGAGCAGATATCCTGATTTTATGGGGATAATCCCAATATTCAGGGCTTTGTTTTATATAGGCACTAGTTATCTTACACCCTCTGTCCCAATTTTTCATACTTGCTATCTGACTACCTTAGCAATGCCATATGGGAGACCTGTGATGATCCTAACCACCCTTTCCCTGTCTCTTTCTCTAGGAGTCAGCACCAAGCCATGGTGCCAAGGCAGAGCACTGAGTCTCTGTAGACAAGAGAGCCACACATTGTCCCTTGAACCAATCAATGAGCTGGCGTCTCAATAAAAATCAAAGAGTACAAACAACAAGAATGGTGAGAATCTCAGGGATCCATTAGGAACATGAACACTTGTTTGATGGTTCCAGGGTAGAATAAAATTTCAGGTCCCCAAAGTTATCTGAGTGTGTCTTCCAAACATTTCACCCGTTGTTCTATATTGGTTCCACCCAAATCTGTGTTTTTGTCTTGTGACGCCTCATATTCACCACCGTGGGGCATAAATATATTGGCGATGACAAATAATTCATTAGAAGACTTCCCAATGTCAGAAGGGCAGCACCAACACCGCCACTGAAACCAAATCATCAAAGAAATAGAGGAAATTAATACAATCTTTAAAAATTCTGCAAAACCCTATCCCAAGCAAAGTTCCCAAGAGAAAACTCATGATACTATATATAAATATATATAGATTAGTTTCCAAGGTGCCACAGGACTACTCCTTTTTAAAGTTACAGACTAATATGCTTGCCTCTCTGAGACAAAGAAAGAAAGAAGTGCCAGAGTCTCCATGAAATCCACTAGATGTCACGAGTGCTATGGAGTTTATGTGGAAGGTGCATAGATACAGCTACCCTGATGGGTGGTGGCAGTCAAAAACATCTGTCTAGGCTATTTTGATTAAATCAGCTTTCATTTGTTAAAGACACTTTTATTTTGTAGAATCCCATTTAGAGGAGAAAAGAGGAAATGATTGTAACATTATAAAGATATTTTTCAGTTGCTTGGCTGCTTCTGTTTCCTGATTCTTCCTAGAGCAAGAAGAGCTAAATATTGTGCTGGCGAGATTTCCAGCTCAAGTGTATAGGTTCAGAATGTTCCTGCAATTTGGTTAATGACAGTGCAAGGATCTGACACCCTCACCCACATATAAAGCATGAGGAAGCCAGAGGCCAGTGGCAACCACAAGTCTATAATTCTCTTTTAGGGTTCATCAATGATGAAACAAAACACAAGGAAGAAACCCCTGAAGCCCTTCAGTCAGACTGTACAGTAGCTTTAGCACCACCAACCCATGAACTGCTGTTTAACATTGATGGAAGGAGCAATTCTCTGTTTTTCACTGGGACCACATCTACACTTCACAGTTATTTCAGAATAAGCTATTCCAGAATACTTATTCCAAATTAGCTTATTTCAAAATAGCAGCAGTGGAGCATCTATGCACAGCTCCTTTCAAAATAGCTATTTTGGAATAGGCATTATTCTTCATAGAACGAGTTTTACAGAAGTTGGAATAAGCCATCCATTATTTTGAAATTATTTCGAAATAACAGAACTGCTTTGTAGACGCTCGCAGTTATTTCAGAATAAGAGCTATTATTCCAAAATAACTTTGCTATGTAAACACACCCTGGGTGTCACTGCTTTTGAAAGTCTCTCTTGAAACAGTGATAGAAATGTAGCGGTGTTAGTCTGGTGTAGCTGAACAAAAAACAGGACTGTGTAGCACTTAAAAGACTAACAAGATGGTTTATTAGGTGATGAGCTTTTGTGGGCCAGACCCACTTCCTCAGATCAAATAGTGGAAGAAAATTGTCACAACCATATATACCAAAGGATACAATTAAAAAAATGAACACATATGAAAAGGACAAATCAAATTTCAGAACAGAAGGGGGATGGAGCGGTGGGAAGAAGGGGAGGTAAATGTCTGTGAGCTAAGGATATTAGAGGTGATAATTGGGGAAGCTATCTTTGTAATGGGTAAGATAATTGATGTCTTTGTTTAAGCTTAGGTGTAAAGTGTCGGATTTAAGCATGAATGACAGTTCAGAGGATTCTCTTTCAAGTGTAGTCTTGATTTGTCCTTTTCATATGTGTTAGTCTTTAAAGTGCTACATAGTCCTGTCTCCTGAAACAGAATCTAAACTGTATAGCTTGAGTTGGCTCCATCTGTACAATGATGGGACCCAAACCTCCAGATCCAGTATCCCCAAATTTTAGGGGATGTTCATCTTTGTATTTGAACTGTGCAGCTTCACTTAGTCTGTAGTTAAAACTTCCTGCACAAATGCATACTAGCTAAATGTTTTGCTGCTGACAATGTGATCATTCAGGATCCATATGTGTGTGCCTGTAAGTGATCTCATATGAGCAGAAAAAGTCAAGTTCTGTGAAAAAGCAACTCCTGTTCTCCCCTCACTGTGTGCACAGAAACAATCATTTTGCAGTGAAACCACTGTAAATAAAAATGGCAATTTTCCAACACCTGGAGAAAAATCAAAGTGCTTTCATATTTCATAGAGGGGGAGGGTGGGAAAAGTGCAGAAACTTGTCATTTTGTTTGCTCATCTGTGTTCTTTATCCCAGATTGAAATGTGCAAATATTAACAAGTAAAAACATGGCATGTCTGGCTGCAGACACTGACAACAGGAATAACTCTGCATGCAAGTCACGCCGCCACTTTTAAACAGAAACTTAGAGCTCCTACTAAACATGCTGTGATTACCCACTGTGCCCATTGCCCAACATACCTGCAGGTCACCTCTGAAGACCTAGTTCTGCCAGCAAGGGTCTTGCTCTGCGAAGCATCTGGCTGAGTTTCGTCAGTGCTTTGCTCCATGCTTCTATTCAAATAACAATGTTTTTGACAAACAGGAGGGGACAGAGAGGAGAGGGGCTGAGTGGGAGCTAATCAGCTTCAAGTATCAAGCATCTTTTTACTTGAACAAACAAGCTGAGGAAGCAGTCCTAACTAGAGCATTGGTGCTTACAAGATCCCTGGTAGCAAAAAACCTCAATAGAATTAATTTGGCCCTTCTGTGGCCAGACAGCCCGCCTCCATCACATCCATCTTATTTGCCTCTCTGAAGCATACAGGACAGAGAAGGAGCAATAAAATCAGCATAGTCTATGCTGGCTCATCTGATCCTGAGAACTGAAACATAGATATGAGGAGAGATCAGGATATGCGAGACTGCCACCGGCTGGCACCTATGTTGATTCGAACACACACACAGTCCCTGGAAGAGGAATTTCCCACTGAGAAAAGAATCCCCAGTAATTCCAATTTAGTTATCTCTCTTACAAGTGTAAATTAAGTTCACAACTCCCTTGTAAGAACTGGTCTCACAAAAGACAGACCAGCCCCATTTGGCATGACAGATAAGAAAGAGAAATACGTGACCCCATGAGTATAAAAGATGGGCCCAGCACACACTCACTTTGAGTGTCATTCTACCCTCTACCTGCTGGTCGGGTTAGGTGTTTGACCTCCCGAGGTTCTATGGGGACGCCCACCTCGTATTTTCGTCTTTCCTAGGAATTGAGGGACCGGCCCTGGCCTGACATGCTGGAGTCGAGAGGCACAGAAGGGGGTAAAAATTGTACCTGGATATGGTCCTCTGTCTTAAGTGTACACATAGAAAGAGTAAGCTGTTACTTGGTACCATTATTTCTATTTTTCTATCTTTATCTTCTTTGTAACCATTTTTAAGATCTATATTTTGCTAGCAGTATCTATATTTTGCTAGTAGTTAAGAAATAGAGCAATAGCCATTGCAACCATATGATTTATAAGCTTCCTCAATAAACCTGTAACTGTTTAAGTTTTAACCTGACTCCTTCAGTTGCTGTAACAGAACCAAGCACAATTTAAAAGAACTTCAGCCGGTCTTAAGGGACAGTTATAGGGAGCCCTGACCGTCGGCTGACACCTTCCCTGGACAATTTACGCAGAGAGTCCTGGTTGTCTCCACCTCTACCAGAGTTTGCATTGATCTCTTAAGCCAATCAAAAGGGAGGGGCAGAGTTTCATCCTGTAGAGTTAACTGCAAAACTGTTTCACTTTTGCAAAGTAGTCAGTTCTAACAAGGGGCATAGGCTAGGGAGTCTCTCCAGGTCACGATCATGGCAAGCAAGTCCTTGTTCATTGTTGCCATTGATTTTGGCACGTCTTACAGCGGCTACTGCTTTTCTCTTGCAACACAGACAGATCAAATCCGGCAGGTGTACTGGGGGCAGGAGCATGGGCTCAACACTCTGAAGACGCCAACGTGCATCCTCTTCAATGAAAAGCGTGAGTTTCAGAAGTTTGGCTACGATGCCGTCATGAAGTACAACTCGCTCCCCTCCAGCGAAGCTCACAGATGGTACTACTTCCACCACTTCAAGATGAAGCTCTATAATGAGGTAAGTGCAAGCCACACGGAGCAGCCAATTCAGAAAAGAGAAAGGAATGCGGTTCACAGGATTGCTACCTTTTTAATGGCTGGTAACTGGGCCCCTAAGGCCCCACCCCTGACTTCCCCCTCCAAAGAGCCACTGTGCTCTGCCTCTTTCCCCAAGGCCATGCCTCTGAACACCTCATGAAGCTGGTGGCAGCAGCAGCTACCGTTATTGTGCTGTCTCTTGCCTTCCACTTAGGACTGCCAGGGTGCGTCTACACTGCAGAGCTACTTTAATTGTGTATCTTATTTCAAAATAAGAAATTGGGAGTGTCTACACAGCACTTATTTTGAAATAGTGCAATCCTCTCCAACTTCCCTTATTCCTCGTACAATGAGGGTTACATGAGTCGGAGTGAGAAGTCCTCCACCTTGACAGTATTTTGACACTATTTCGAAATAACTGCCTGCTGAGCAGATGCAGACTAAGTTATTTCAGAATAGCACTGGTTATTTGAAATAGTGTTGCAGTGTAGACGTATCCCCAGAAATTAAAAAAAAAATCAGTCATCAGGTCTTATCTAATAGCATCTGGACACACAAGCTAGAACCCAAACTGTTCAGTGTAACAAGGCCTCTTTTCTCTCACCAGCCCTAGCATTCTCCCCTCTGGCAATGGCGGGCTGGGGTAATTTACTCACCTAAGGGAAGGACCACATTCTCTCCCGGAGAAGAGGCTTCCTTGTCTGGTAACAGCTGGTCTGTCTCTCTCCTTCTTCTTCTTGAAACAAGTGTGTGTGCATGAGGGGGGAGGGGGGGGGGGAGAGGGTGACATTTAAAAAGATCTCAGGTAGCCCTTAATCAGATTCAGGTGTTCCTAATTGAACTGAGGTAGCTCCTTCTCAGCTGATAGGAAAAAAGGATCTTTAACATTCTAGGACTTCAGCACACACACCTTTGTAGGGTATGGGGCTGCTGAGGTGTGCAGGGCCCCAGCTAGTTTCTTCTGGGTCAAGCCCCACTTCTATCTTGCTGGCTGTTTGCCACCCTCCTTCCCGATAGCTACTATAGCTGTTTTGGGGGAGGGGGGGCTGTGCTGGTCTGTCTTTTGTCAGGGCAATGGGGAGTCCCTTTTCCATCTTTCTTGGGGTCTCTCCTGGCTCTTTGGCTGGTGCTGGCCTGGTCCTCTACTGCTGCTTTTGCCCTTGGTGAAGAAGTAGAGGAGATACTTAGTGCAGTGTTTGGAGTTTTCACAGCTTCCTGTGGGGGAGGGAGTTGGTGCTGGGCCTTTTCTATCATGGTCCCTTCGGAGACAGCTAGTTTAGTTGGCTTGGAGCTGTTACCTGCCCTTGTACCAGCTGAGGAATGAACTCAGACAAAGGGTTAACTGGAACAGTGCTGAAGGTTGTTTATTGATGTAAATTCTGAGGGGTATGGTAATACTCACATGTGCATCACACTCATACTAGCACTCTGGAGGCAGGCTACAGGTACGGCGTAGATAGCTTCCGATTTTACAGGCGGCGAGAGCTAGCCAGGCAACAGCTTCTCGGAGATCGACCGCGAGGCCACAGTGATCCCTGGAGATCCCTTCAGAACTGTGGGAGGGCTTTCTTCTCTGGGCTGGTTCCAGGTTTCTGCTGTGATGTTACATCTTGTCCCAGAGAGAGCGAGACTCCTGGCCGCTCCTCACATTAATTATACACTTGCAATTAAAAGGTCACGGAAAGCCGAACTGCCTTGTGATTGGATGTTTCCCACTCTCACTTCTTCATGCCAGGAAGCTACTTAAACCATGTTTGCTCAACTAACAGAAATGATCTAAACTGCATCGTTTTAACAACTGTAAAATAAGTGCCCAACCTTAACAGGAAACTCAACTAGCAGAACCTGTCTAGACCACATTTGCTTTACAGGAACTAGTCAAGTTTTGGCTGAGAGAGCTAGAAGTACAAAATAAGGGGAGGAACAGGCTTTTGTGTCCAGCCAGCCACACTTCAATGGAGGGGCCATGAGTCCAGCTGGCTACAAGGGGAATGGGGTAGAGGCGTGAAGTCCTCCCCACAGTCCAGCTCCCTCTTCTGCTACCACCATTGCTGCCACCCTGTCCCACTCACTGCTAGGGGCCTTCTACATTTTTTGTCCCAACTGCTCATCTCTTCCCTTTACTCACCTGGGGTTTCACAGCAGTAAACCAGCTTTGCTCTTCAAGCGTCCATGGACACGCCTTTCCCTCCTTCCCTTGGTTTTGCCCTCCCTCCCCTGACTGTTTGGCAAGTGGGCTCCCTTTCCCTCTGCCCTGCCCTCTGGTATCACTTATATAGTAGTTTGTCCCCTTTCCCTTTGCTGCCTGCCCTTCCCATCTCACTCGGGCCATTTTGCTCCCATTTGCCCCCCCCCCCATTTTCTGAGGGGCCTGTAACTTTGTGGTTCTTTAGTTAATTTATTTGTCCCACCCAGTGTGGACTTCATCCCTACTTGACCATCTTGATTGGCCATGTGGCTGGAAGGGGGTTCCAACTGGCAGATATTCAGGTGTCTATGACCCTGATCCCCATTGTGCTGAGAGACAAACTGCATGGTCCATCTTCCTCAGCAGTCACTCCCGTCCTCAGCTGTTCAGATCCTTGAGAGTGCCTGGTGTCAAGTGTGGATTTCAACTGCATTCTCAAAAACTGGAACTGCATGGGGACCAAGCAGTGCCCGGTCACCATCATTATTTTCTGGGAGATTATATATCACCACTTCCTGGTGGACATCTGGTATGGGGTATGAAGGAGGGTGGGAAAATGAGAGAAATTGTGAGAAATTGTCCAACCCCAAGTTTTTTCTGTTGAAAAATGATGATTTGGGTTTCAGATGGGCTTGGGCTTGATTTTTAAGCCTGTCCACAATTGGGGGCCCACACATGTGTTTGGTGCTAGCCCCACAAACTATTAATCTGGCCCTGCTCTGGAGAGCCCTAGTTCAACTCTCAGTGCGTTGGCTGCACTGGAGGCAGGGAGGGGAACTGGCAACACACCCAGCAGCAAGTTGCACTACCTCAATACAAATCAAAGTGATTTGTTTTTTCTCACTTCTAGAAAATCACTTCCAACATGGAACTAGAAGCAGATGATGGAAAGAGGCTTCCAGCCCTAACGGTGTTCTCAGAAAGTCTGCGTTACATGAAGGATCATGCTCTGAACACCATACAGGAAGCCTCATACCAAGCTGTCTATGACACTGATGATGTCACCTGGGTCATTACTGTTCCTACATATGGGATGCTTCTGCCAGGCAGTTCATGCGACTGGCAGCTAAAGAGGTAAAGTGAGTTACAGCCCGATTGCCTCTGAGATTCTCCAGAATTTTCTCTGCCCAACAGTATAGAACACTTGTTCAGCATTTAAACAAACCGTATTTTAAATGTAAAACTTGCTTGACCAGGGGTGGAGTCACAGATTTTGTTTTACAGGTATTCTCAATCTGCCCTTTCTGTGCTGCTAAATTAGAGAGGGACCCTGACCAGATCATGCCTAGAAGGGAGAAGTTGTTACAGTATAGAAAAGGAAGAATGCTACACATTCTTACAAGCAGTGACAAAATTATCTACTGGCTTAGAGCCTCCTCTGAGACAAGCATCTGTAACAAGACTGGAAGAGCCATTACAGGGGCCGTGGAGCCTCATGTGCTGGCTGGAATCAGGTAGAAATTCCCCTCCCAGTCCACACACAGTTAGGGTATGTTTACACTACAGCACTAATTCAAACTAATTTAATTCAAATTAGTGCATCTAGACCTAAAAACTAATTTGAATTAGCATTTTGCTAATTTAAACTAGCATGTCCACATTGAGTAGCTCCTGAACCGAAGTTAAGGCTGGCTGGAACCAGTACCAGCAGGGCATCAGGTTAGGACTTAGAGTGTGGAGCTGCTGCCTCAGGCTAGCCGAGGGCTGTGCTTTAAGGGACCCGACCCCCACCCTGGACAGACAGTTCTCAGGGTTCCCCGCTTGCTTGTCTACCTCGATGAGGGACAGCAAAGCAGTCCTGTCTTGGAGTGCCCTGAGTGCCCACACTCGGCACATCACGGCACTCAGCCATCATCCCAGCTACACTTGC